TAATGAGAAACATGCTAAACTTGAATACATACAAGATTCAAGGATGTCATTGTGTGTGTGTGTGTGTGTGTGTGTGTGTGTGTGTGTGTGTGTGTGTGTGTGTGTGTGTGTGTGTGTGTGTGTGTGTGTGTGTGTGTGTGTGTGTGTGTGTGTGTGTGTGTGTGTGTGTGTGTGTGTGTGTGTGTGTGTGTGTGTGTGTGTGTGTGTGTGTGTGTGTGTGTGTGTGTGTGTGTGTGTGTGTGTGTGTGTGTGTGTGTGTGTGTACAGTATGTGTGCCCACTGTTGCATTTAAACCTTGATTTTTAGTAACTTCAATGTGATATGAAAGTCTGAACTCATCAGAATGAATGCACTTTCATTCTGACATAACTTCTCTCAATATGTGACACTTGAACATATCCATGTGCAGAGAAAATAGACCCAAAATGTATTTAAGTCAGTCCACCAGGAGTACAAATATGGCCTCTTTCTGGTTAAAACTGCCATTTGGATCCTGAAAATGTCCGAAATTGATTTGACATTCTCAGTAAACCCCAAAACCAATGCAAATGTCCAAATATGCTAATGAATGCAACCTATTCTAAGTGTATAAATTGCCCAACATATGCAGGTTAGCAGCCAGCAGTTTCTATGTGATGGGGACCCCTACTATACATTTCTAACATAAAACGTTGGGGTACTCAACATTTCCGAGTCCACAACAGGACTCGCTGCAAACAGAGTATAATGTAATCCTGTTGCATGTAATCTGTTCTCTCCAAGCCTTGTAGAAAGAAAATAGTTCCTATGAAACTCCCTCAGGGCTTCTCTCAGTTTCCTTCAGAGCTGCCACACCACGGTGCACTTGTTCCCTCAGATCCTTATCGGTGCTACTTGCCCGTGCATCAGTCTAGTTATCGGGGCTGTTACCCCCCCCCCCCCCCCAATATGAAGTCACCCAGAGGACCAGATCACAGCGAAGCCAACATGTGGTTTGAGTTAACATGTCAGGAACAAGCCTCCATGCGTGGGCTTCTCTGCGTAGACCCACAGCACGACAGTCAGTGTAGCTTACAGTAAAGTGTGTGTGTGTGTGTGTGTGTGTGTGTGTGTGTGTGTGTGTGTGTGTGTGTGTGTGTGTGTGTGTGTGTGTGTGTGTGTGTGTGTGTGTGTGTGTGTGTGTGTGTGTGTGTGTGTGTGTGTGTGTGTGTGTGTGTGTGTGTGTGTGTGTGTGTGTGTGTGTGTGTGTGTGTGTGTGTGGTTATAATCCTAAAGCAGGAAGTGAGGGTCAATTAAAAAGTCAGCACATTGCGTCTCTTGAGACTCGACCCAAAAAGGACTTGCTGAACTTCATTTGTTTATTTCAATAATTCTGTATACTCTTAATTCTTTTTTTTCCTGCTTTATTTTTCTTTCTCCTTCCATACGGACAACATATTTCTGTTCAAACTTTATATTCAATAAAGAATATAACCTCTCATCTGCCTGCCTGTTCAGAAGCCAGGTGGAGGTTTTGGCTTTCGTCAGAGGTTATCTGACAGCGTCTCAGGAAACAAAGCAGCTATTTTCTGCTCCTTTGATTTTCTGATGAACTCCCCGCTGCATCTCAACATCTGACACTGTTTTCCCTCCTTGATCCAGGTTCCAGTTTACTGACTCACGCTGAAGTTCCTCTGAAAAGCTGCTTGGATTTTGTGATATGAATCGTGAACTCATTTTCTGATTGAACAGATTGACGCTGGTAAAACTGAAGCTGAAGTGAAGCAGACTAAACATGAAACACATGAGTTACTTTCACTTAGAAGTGAACATGAGGAGCGTGACAAGGAGGCGTGTGGCGCAGTGGGGTGTGCGTTGGTGTTCGGATCAGGACAGGTTCAAACCCCACTGCAGTCAGCATGTCGTTGTGTCCCTGAGACACTTCACCCCAAATTGCTCCTGTGGGGATTGCCCTCAGTATTGAGTATGTAAGTCACTTTGGATAAAAGCATCTAACAAGTAACATGTAATGTGATTGTTGATGGACGTGATAAAGCAAAGCAACGTTGATAACATCAGAAGTTAGATGGAATAAAACCATGGAAACATGACGTTTGTGAAACTGCAGGATTACTGTGCGTCCTTGAATTCATCATTTGCTTATTATCGTTCACTCATTCAGTAAATAGGCCGAGTAATTTATATTAAAATGGTCATTCTCTGGGTAAAATATTGCTATAAAATATTTGTAATAAGTATTTGACATGCTGCAACGCTGGATGCTCCGATCAGGGTTTTTGGGGCCGATCGCCGATCACCGGAATCAGTATCGGCCGATACCGATCATAGGGTGGGTGGGGGCTATGGGGATCTTCCCTTTAAAGGGATGTTTAAAACTCAGTTAATGGGGCTCATTTTTATATTGCTTCAGTTTATAATCGTAACGGATCGAAAAGTTCAGATGAATGTTTCAATAGCCTACATGATGCGCTTCCACAAA